CCCCAAGCAACAGTAAAAACTGGGCAGACAATCAGGTATCCATGTACCTGCTATGCTCCTTGCTAAACTAGACTTTGTTGGTTGTGCATACCATCTGCTATTGCCCTTCAGATGAGGCAGCAGGCCGAAAAATCCCTTGTACCCAACACGTATGGCAGTTCAAAACCTAAAGACAGCTACTGCAGTGGTGGAGAAGTCTGGTGTCCCAGCCTCTGGTCACTATTCCGATATGTCCCTGGCTACATCCAACCTTTGCAGCCGGTGCTATTGCTAGACACTGCAAGCACCTTTTAACTTGCTCTTTGCTTACAGCATCCCTAAGCGGCAAAGAAATTTAACTTGCTGTTTTTTGGGGGGAGGCTTCAAATGCAAATGTTCATTGAAACAGCCTGGTTTTCTTTGCGTTGATGTTGCATTTTTAAATCAGGTCTGACCAGATAAATTTGCCCATATGCTGCCAAAAACCTCCCGCCTTGGGCCAAAGTTTTATGTACAAAACATATGATTTTTGTGCTTCTTAGCAAGCAGTAATAAAATTAATTATTGCACACTTAACCTCGCCCTACACAGCTGTTCTAATTATGGGATGCTTCCTGGCTTTGCAGTCTAGCCTTCCCAAAGAGTACAGCTAAAACAGGCTTGTGGTGTAAGCAGCAGGTTCATTGTTCAGTCCAAAACTGGCTTTGTTGAGGTTAGTCTCAGTTGCAGCAGTTGTGTGTTCATATAAATACAATGAAACAGTATATAGGGAAGATAATGGCATAATCCACACAGCAAAGAATGCATTTATCAGGCACAAAACCACAAGCTGTCTGAAAAAGCCAAGAAGCCTTTTACCTTGTGCCTTCATCAGCTGAACCGAAACCAAATGGGTGTCCCAAATGTTTTGCTTACACACAGATGCTGCATCTCAGCAGGGATCTCTAGCTATGCTACATCCAGAACCAAATGCCCATGAATTAATTACTTTTTAATACAGTTAAAGATTAAATCCATCCACCTAACCTTATAGAAGCTGTGTAGTGAAACCTACTTAAAGGAGCGCTTTTTAAAAAAGCTTATCAAAAGGATCTTTGTTGAATAACAACGGGTAGGTTCCCTAGCATATTAAATCAAAAAGATTCCCATTGCTGGATAGTTTTATGTGCTTTTGACATCAGAAAAAAAGCTGTGCTTGCTTCCCTCAGACATGCTGAAGAATGCCTTGCTTTTGAAAGCTTGTCTAACTTTATCCCAACCATGCAGTTGGTCCAATAAAAGAAATCGCCCCCAAAAAATCCTTGCCTCTTGCAGGTCTGTGAAATTGCAAATGCATAGTAGTGAGGATCAGAGGCCATGGGAGACGATAGGTGTGAGACATACCTCCCCCCCACCTAGCTGTCTCGCATCTATTGTCTGCCATCACCTGTGATCCTCACTGCTATGCATTTGTAATTTCACAGACACTTGCGTTTTGCATATTGGCTTCTATTGCAACCAGGAGAGCACAAAACACCAGCAGACTCCCCCTGTGCCTAAAGAAAGGTGTTTGTGCCTAAAAGCTTGCAAAGAACAATTTTTCCAACTATTTAGTTGATCGAATAAAAGATATCACATTTACGCAAAGAACCTTGTCTGCCTGTGTCCTGGGGCATTTAAGGTCTCTATCTGACGCAGGAAGTCTACAGGCCGATGAGAGGTAAAGCACTGCTCGACCTTGTACTGGCAACCGGGGATGACCTAATCAGCGACCTAACGATCGAAGGGAAGCTGGCTGACAGTGACCACGAGCTGATCACCTTCACCATCTGCCATAAGTCAGTCAGTAATACAGAAGCCCTCAACTTCAGGAAAGCTGACTTTGACAAGCTCAGGAGGCTTGTCAGTGAGGCCCTAAAGGGCCACAGCCCAAAGGGGAAGGGAGTTCAGGACAAGTGGTTGCTCCTCAAGGGAGTAATCCTGGATGCGCAAGTAAAGTCCATCCCATCTCGGAGGAAAGGCAGCAAAAGGGCACAGCAGCCCCCTTGGCTCTCCAGGGAACCAGCAGACCTCTTGTGTCTTAAAAGGAAGACGTACAAAAGATGGAGGACGGGAACCACCACCAAGGAGGAATACTCTGCTCTGGTCCGGACCTGCAGAGAGCAAACTAGGAAAGCCAAGGCTGCGATGAAACTTCAACTGGCTACAAATATCAAGGACAATAAAAAGTTCTTTTTTAGATATGTGGGGAGCAGGAGGAAAAGCAAGGGCAACACGACCCCTGCTAAACCAGATGGGACAGCTGACAACTGATGCCCATGAAAAAGCAAACTTGCTTAATGGGTACTTTGCGTCAGTTTTTCACCAGTCCCATGGGATGCCCCTGCCCACTGTGGGTCAGGGAGGCCAGGGTGAGGGAGATTTCTTGCCCTCCATGGAAGCTATGTTGTGAAGGAACACCTTGACAGGCTGAGCACCTTCAAGTCAGCCGGCCCTGACAGTTTACACCCAAGGGTACTCAAGGAGCTGGCGAGCATCATAGCCCAGCCCCTGGCACAGATCTTTGAGAACTTAGCTTATAGGTAGCTATAAGGTCTCCCCTCAGATGTCTCTTGTGAAGGCTGAAGAGATCCAGATCCCTCAACCTCCCCTTGTAGGGTCTTTCATGGAGGCCACTAATCATGCAAGTGGCCCTCCTCTGAACCCTTTCCAGATTCTCCATGTCCCTCTTAAAGTATGGCTCCCAAAACTGGACACAGTACTCCAACTGCGGCCTGACCAATGCTGCATAGAGGGGGAACATCACCTCCCTCCATCTGTTGGTCATGCATATGTTAATGTACGACAAGGTGAGACTGGCCTTGTTGATGGCTTCGTTACACTGCTGGCTCATGTTAATTTTGGAGTCAACTATGACTCCAAGATCCCCTTCAGCCACTGAGCTGCTGAGGAGGTCATCCCCCAACCTATAGGTGTGCTGGGGATTCCTCCTCCCTAGGTGGAGCACTTTGCATTTATCGTTGTTGAATTTCATCCTATTTCATTCTGCCCATTGATCTAACCTGTCCAGATCAGCCTGTATCTGCTCCCTGCCTTCTGGCATGTTAACTTTGCCCCAAAACGTGGTATCATCTGTGAACTTGGAGAGGTTACTCTCCGCGGGCAATCCAGGCTGACATGGACAGGCTCAGCAAATTGGCAGACAGGAACCTGATGGTGTTTAACACTGAAAAATGCAAGGTTCTCCACCTTGGGAGGAAAAACCTGCAGCATCCTTATAGGCTCAGCAGTGCTATGCTGGCTAGTACTAAGGAAGAAAGAGACTTGGGGGTCATGATCGACCACAAGATGAACATGAGCCTTCAATGTCATGCTGCGGCTAGCAAAGAGAGCAAAACGCTGGCTTTCGTCCATAGATGCTTCTCAAGCAAATCCCAGGATGTCATTCTCCCGTTGTACTCGGCCTTGATGAGGCCGCAGCTGGAGTACTGCGTCCAGTTTTGGGCTCCACAATTCAAAACAGGATGTAGAGAAGCTTGAGAGGGTGCAGAGGAGAGCCACGCACATGATCAGAGGTCAAGAAAACAGACTTTATGATGAGAGACTGAGAGCCATGGGACTCTTCAGCCTGGAAAAGCGCAGGCTCAGGGGTGATCTGGTGGCCACCTATATATTTATCAGGGGTGCTCATCAGGATCTGAGGGAATGTCTGTTCACCAGAGCGCCCCAAGGGATGACAAGATCGAATGGTCACAAACTCTGCCGTGACCCATTCAGGCTGGACATAAGGAAGATCTTCTTTACTGTCTGAGCCCCCAAGGTTTGGAATAGACTGCCGCTGGAGGTGGTTCAAGCGCCCGCTTTGAACGCCTTCAAGACCCATTTGGATGCTTATCTTGCTGGGATCCTATGACCCCAGTTGGATTCCTGCCCCTGGGGCAGGGGGCTGGACTGGATGATCCTCTGGGGTCCCTTCCAGCCCGAATGTCTGTGAAATCTATGAAGGCATTTAAGACAGGGGCGGGCAATTATTTTGGGCAGAGGGCTGCTTACTGAGTTTTGGCAAGCCATCGAGGGCTGCATGACAGGCAGCCCAGGGCAAATAAAAATTTTAGAAAATTAATATTTTTAGGGGCCCTGTGGGCCAGATAGAATGGCCTGGCAGGCCGTATCCGGCCCCCGGGCCGCATTTTGCCAACCCCTGCTTTAGACCAACACGGCTACAACCAACATGCCTGAAACATGCATGACTCAGTGGAGCATTTCATTTGGAATCTGCCCCATTTCATCTTTAAATGTACTCTCAGCCAGAAAAATATGCCTTTTATTGAAACCCTAGAGAGATGGCATCTGATAAATCCTGAGAGGACTGACTGAGAGCTTGCGGTTCTTAGTGCATCATTAATCTGTAGCAAAACAGCGTGTTCCAGCTTCACCGTGTAACTTAAGAGTAAATAACATGGTTAGGGGAGTACTGGTAGCACTAGTGAAGGGAGCCTTGATATTTTGGGTGGTCTGTCTGGCAGTGTTCAAAGAGGGCATCAGGAGCCATTCAGATATGCTTGACTTTTAACGTAGATATTTGTTTGGACATCACAATTTGTACTTTTTTTACTGGGTGTTTTTTTTTTCCTTTGGTAATAAACTTGCTGTAACTTTCAGGCTCTGGACAATATCTTATCTTCTGTCCATCTCTAGGGGATAGGCAGACATAGCAATTGTATCGGTATCAAATCATGCTCTAAGCTGTCATAGTCATTTGTGTTTGCTTCTGTAGAGATACAAATGTAACAAAACCCTTATTATTTAAAGGGTTAAAGTTGCAGCCATTTAGCTGACTTTTATCATTACAGAAAGATGCAGACATAACTGTTACATCCCAGCAGCTGATCGGAGAGCTGAAACAGTACTTCTCCCTCCTATTTTAGAGCACTTGAAAGGTTTATTTGTTTCTACCCTCTTCATACGTCAAGACACCAGGGATATGTAGCAAGTTCGATTAATTTGATCTATAATTAACTTCCTCTGTCTTCCCTCTTCAGGCGGCTTGGTGCTGAACTGGGAAAATCTGTGGTGTACCAGGAGACCAATGGAGGTAAGTCAGACCTACTGTGCTTATGAAAATGTTCCACAAGTAACTTTAAAAAATAGTACCAAATCTACTAACCACATCACAGAGACATAAGGATGACCCGGTGACACGCGTTACAGTAAGAAGTGTTACGACTTCAGTCAGGAGAGCACATCTGCTCCTAGCTCTGCCTAATTCATCTGTGATGCTGGGCAGTTCGATTCAGTTTGTCTGTGCCTTAATTTCCCCAGCCTATAAAGGGACTGCTTTGTTTGTGAAATCCTGAGAAAGCAGTGGAGAAGAGCTACAGTAAAACCTTCATTATCCGGCACCCACAGGGAATGGAGGGTGCCGGATAACAAAATATGCCAGATAACTGAGCGGCCCAAACAGGCATCTTTGCCTGTTCAGGCTGCTGCCCGTCCCGCCGTGTCTGGGGTGTTGCCACCTCTCCTGCTGTATTGCCACCCCTCCCATGGGCCCCGAGGAACAGGGAGCGGGGACCCGCACAGCCTGCTATGCCCCTGGGGCTTGGCAGCGCAGGCTGCTTTCCCCCAGGCCATGGGGGCTCTGTGAAACTGGAAGTGCCACGGTGGGCACTTCCAGTTTCACTTTTCCCTTACAAACCCTTACAAGCTGGCATGCCGGTTAACGAAGCATGCCAGCTTGTAAGGTGCCAGTTAACACAGCTTTTGCTATAAAATCTAAATTCAGATCATTGTTTTATTGCAAAAAGAAAGGAAAGAAAGAAAGTCCAGTGTCTGCTCTTTAAACTTATTTGAATCATAAGATGGGATATTTTTGTCCTGTCACACTAAAGAGAGTGCAAATTTGAAGAGTTCCAAGAAGAAGTATGTTCTGGAGGTTTGACCTCATCTCCTATTTCATCGTATTAAATACTTGTCTTCAGATGTCAGAGTGCTCTGTTGCAACGCCTTTATTAGCCAACAGTGGAGCCCAGTGGCTTCACTATAATTTAGCAGTTGCAAGCCCTCCTCTGCCGTATGTATTAAGGGAATACAAAGAGAGGAAAAATGATATGTCAGAGTACCCAAAGTGGAAGTCTAGACAGTGAGTTCTGTAACTGGAGAGGGATCCTAGCTCTGAGAGACGGTCCGACCCAAACAAGATGAAACCTTGTGCCAGAGCAAGGCCTGGCCAGCTGACCTCTGCAGCTGCATGGTGCACAGGGTGATATATAATCCTGTAAGTAACTCCAGTCCTAGGTATCAAGTCCTTTATATATCCATCATAAGACCTTGCCATGTGGATACCTGGCATATTGATTTGGTGCAACTGTAAGTAATGCACCACTAATATTGCATGGATGAGGCCCAGGAAGAAGTGGATAATGCCAGTCAGCATTCCTCTGAGCTGCGTGACATGCACAGCTGTGCAGGCGCGCTCGTGCCGCACTGCCAGGCATGCCTGTGCATGCCACACAGCTTAGAGGGAATGCTGATGCCAGTGTACTGACCCAGCTCCATCAACAGACCCAGTGGGTGGTGGTGCTGCCTCTTATGTTTCCAGAGCATCACTCCTGGCTTGTTTTCTTATATTCAGGAGCTGCCATTCTAACTTCTGGGTACTGATGGGGTCCCTTCCAGCAAAAGCACTAGCTTTGGTTCTTGCTTGCTGCCTCCTTGCATTGAGCCTTATACTGGGGCGTTTGCCCCAGGGTCCAAAGTCCTCCTTCCTCATAGCAGATGGTGAATCTTTCAGCTATCTAACCCCTTCAAAGCTATCAAGATTGGCCAAATGGTTGGACTTTGAAGTTGGCAGCTCGGTAAACTTTCCCCTTCTTACTGCCTGTATCCTCTTGTAAGGTTTTTAAAAAAATCATTCTTGTATGGAAAAAGAATGGTTAAAAATAGCCTTCAAAACCCAGTGGGCCTGCTCTCACTTGCAGAGCTGGTTTAGAAGCAGCTTTATTGCAAATTGGCATTCAGGCGGTAGGCTGAGGTGAATGAACTGGAGGCTTTGATTTCCAACATGCAACTTTCCATTCCCTGTCAAGGTTGACATTTCTGCTTGCTTCACAAGGAAACTGTGTGAAGGGGGAACAGGGAGACTTATTCCCACTTCGAACTCAGTATTGCTAATGGTCCTGTACCCTCGCCCACAGGTACAGAGATGATGTTGAATTTAAGGCAGGGATTTGGCAACCTGTGGTGGCATCAGGGATTGGCAGTGCACGGCTTGACCCAGTATGTCTCCTCTCTCTGCCCTGCACCCAGCCACTGATTTCTTCACCCCCCCCACACACTTCTCCACAGCACCCTTGTTGCCTCTTAAAGCATATGCCACCCACTGTTGCCACCAAATTCAACTCTCCCCTCTGCCACTGGGGACAGGAATTAGTGACGTGGTGGTGGCAGCAGCAGGGTGTTTGGATGCTGTGGTGTAGGGGGAGCAGTAAAGAGTCTGAGTAAAAGGTGTTATAGATGCTTTGAATGTGATAGTTCTGTGTTCACTTGGTGTGGCACCAACAGCTGTCAGTGCTAAGAGAAAGGAGGTAAATACCTGAGCACAGCTTTATGCTCCTTCATGCTGGCTATAAGGGTTGAATGGTTCCCTTCTCCCCCATAAGGTTATTGCTGTTCAGGCTAATAATATAGGGAGAACTAAGCTACGTCACTGGGACCTCATACAAACTTGGTTCCCAAGGCTGGCCACCCTTCTGGAATATCCATTTGGCTCTTTCCTTCAGGCTTGCCTAGGCTGATATGCAAGTCTTCTCGACATTGGTGGGTTTTTGTAACTTCTGTTGCTCTCACACCTTCCCCCTGAACATAACAGCAGTTTTGCCCAGCGCGCTGCTTAATGCACTTCCTTCTCAAGCAGCTCGGTTGATAACTGACTGCATGTTTCTGTCCTCTTCAGAAACAAGAGTTGAAATAAAAGAATCCGTCCGGGGCCAGGATATCTTCATTATACAGACAATACCCAGGTAAGCGACCTATGGCTTTGTTTTACAACTCTGATCACGAGTCTATCTACAGGGAGTGTCCTGGAATTTCCAGCTTTGTGGCCTTGTTCTGCAGTGGGTGTGGTGTGTTCGTCCCCCTCTTCTCCTCTCTGCTTGTCAGCTTAATAATGTGTTTGGATTTTTTCCCCCAGTACTGCTCTAGCGTTGACTTCATTTCAGGCTTGAAGGGGGGTATTAAGCTGTTAAAATTCCCAGTGGGTCAGTTGCCATCACAATCAGCTGAAAAGCTTCTCATCAAACGTTCTAAGTGTGGCACTTCAAGCACCAGCAAATAAAACCAATGGTTTTCAATAAAAACTTCCCTGCTCTGTGCCCTGCTGTCCTCCCCAGCTCTATTGCTCCATGATCTTGATGGGCATTTCCATCTCAGAATGTGTAATTTCCTCTGCCTTCCAATTACTGAGCAGCAGAGCTGGCAACAACAGGAGTGATTGCTTTCATTACAGGTTGAATTGCTCTTGCCTTTGATTGTAATGATGTGAAGTTGAATTCATGCTGGAGCTCTAAACTTCCTTCCTGTGCTTCTACAATTGTGAGCCCTTCTCTTCTGGTTGTTATCCATGTCTTAGTACTTTCTTCCTCAGATGGGCCTACTTTTGTTTTCTGGTCAGGGCTGTTCTGGTGTTGGTTAGAAAAGTAAAGAAATACTGGAGATTCACTGTGGGTTAGAAACCCACCTGCTAGTATACCGAGAATCCTGGCTTATAGGGTAGATGGGCTGTTCAGAGAGCAAAGAGTTCAGCTTAGAGTTGTGTAGCAGATCTCAGGGGGTCTTGCCAAGCGATTAGTTGATATATCCTGTGAACACGTTTTTTTTCCCTGACCTGCATATACAAGGTCCAAGTATTAAAACTCACATCCTTCTGAAGGCTTGGCTTTTTTAAACAAAGACCTCAGTGCGAAGGCAGCTTGGATCTTTCCCAAGAGAGGCGGCTGCTAGGCGTCTTTCCCTTCCTAGAGAGCCACGCCGACGTTCCTTACATTCAAGTGGGGAAAGAAGTCATGTCCCTCAACAAGCTTGCAGATTCCAGCTGGAAGAAAACCTGCTGATATTATCAGGTATTTGATGCAAACCACCTTCCTGTTGCACAGTCCTAATTAGGAAGCTGTCTTTAATACTCTGTAGTTTAGAGCTGTCTAAATTAAACTTACAGATATGGTATTTTAGTCAAAAAGACAAATCATAGAATCATAGAAGTAGGGTCGGAAGGGACCTTGTAGATCTTCAAGTCCGACCCCCTGCCTGGGCAGGAGGGAAACTGGG